AAGAAAGAGGTCTGTGAGGAGGAAAAGGTGGAAATTGAGATCAAAGTCGAACTTCCGAGAAAAAAAGGTCGGAAGCTTATTAAAGTAGGAGAACAGGGCTGCAGTATAGCGGATGGAAGTAGATGGATTATTGATGGAAAGAAGGGGTGGATGGCAAGAAGTACGTTTTTTTCGCGTGCTCAGGTAGGTGGCCAGGTTGTGAGGTAAAGATGACAATGGCTAGATAACGGAGCCACCGCAGCCCAAGGGAAAGGAACAAATAATTTTATTGAGAAAAGTTTTAGAGAAAAAACAATTGAATTGGGAAGATATGTGGGAGGATCAATTGGGGAACATTCGCAAAATGTTTATCTATCATTAGCTCGGTTGCCATAACCAGGACATTCGATGATTCGATTGGGCGAAACGGAAATGTATTGCAGCCAACATCCCAGATGTGCTCGAAGCATCTTAAAGGAGCAGTTTGAGAACCGGAAAGGTCTTCTAGCCCATTCATCTAGTATATGCCGCTCCGGGGATAGAATCAGTTTCATCCTCTTTGTGTTCTGCGTATTTTGGGTCTTTCGATCTGTGCGCCTCTACCCTACAATAGACCCAATGTAATGGCGATGAAGACAGAGTACAGTACAAAGTATTTCAGTAACTTTTCAGTATGTCGTGAAAATATAGATATCGTTGAAAAAATCTTGAGTTTCTCAGAACCAATACTTTGTGAAAAGACACCTTTGAAGGTTTTCGTGAGCAGACGTCAGGAGCTCATCGAATGGAGCACATCTTAGGCAAAACGCATTCCTTAAAGTATTTTCAGCATCTTTCTCTAAGTCAACCCGAAAGGATTTAAGGACAGGGGAAACCTACACAGACTCTGTAAAGGGGAGCAGGAGAGGGAGAGTTGTACTGACGGGCGGTTTCTTTTGATGTCTAGCTTGACCTTGCCCGCACCGCCTGGAGGCCACATGGGTAACCTCTTAGGAGCGGGGTGAACTTTAGACCTATTTCAAGAGAATTCTGAACTCTTATTGACCCATTCCAGAGTGCTTGTTGAGGAGCCGGCTTTGCGTCCTTTAAAGCTTCATTTCGTTCCAGGGGGAACAAGTATTATGCCCTTCATAGGCCCATCCTCATTTTAGGGAGAGAAATCGAGATGGAGAAAGCGGCTTCAAGGGAAAGAAACCGGGGAGAACGAAGGAAAACTTGGAGTATGATGGTGTTCATTACTTTCTCAGGTAACGTGACCCACAGAAACATTGAGTTGAGAAGTAGTACATACATTTTGCATTGTAAAAAGAAAGCAGGTAGAGTGATAGAAGTTTCGAAGGTTTGTAGTACTGGGAGAGGTTATCGGAAGGGGCAGTACGGAAATAAACGTCATGGCTAAAGACTATCAAGCTCGTATGCTTTGCCCAAGCCCGAACTTATATCCCTTCAAGGTAGGTTGGTTGGATACCAGGTTCGCCTGGAAGAGCTGACTTATACAGCGGTTGGCCCCTGCGCACCATTGTATAGACCAGGTATGCACCCAATGAGCGCTACGATTCCGAGTGGAAGCCAAATGTCGGGGTGCATCTCAAGAACAGGAATGATTGATCCGATGACTTTTACTTCTACCCTCAATGACAAGTATGTCGGCGTTTCCACTCGGAAAGACTACGTTGAAGGTGAAGGTGCCGAATCGTAAGAAAACGAATTTGGTTACAAACGTCGGGTAGCATTTGGGCAAGAAGAACATCTATCTTACAACTTCTCATTGCCCGCCAAAACAGATTTTGTAAAAGGGTCAACAGCAGGTTACACTGCAAAACTGCATCCCCTATCGCTCCATAGAGACCGAGCGATCACCAGCCTCAGAGTGACGTCAGGAGGCGACTCATAAAGAACTGCGTCGGAGGGCGTTCATAGCAAAAATGCGCTATACCACTGCTCTCAATGAAATTGAATCTTGACCACCTCACGATCGAAGAACAACAAGGGTTCGCAAAAATCCAGCTTCCCTTCTGAAGAGCCTGCTACTTGCCTCCTGTGCTACTTCATTATTTAGGCATTGAACTCTGAAGGCGGACTCTTTTCGCAATTTGATATTCCTTGAATTGTTAATTGACTGATCGGCCATACGGAGAAATGTGATTAAACGCTCAAACGTTAACGCCTTGGGCTAGAGTCAATATGGGGCGCTGACGTTATTCGCGTTAGAAGATCCTTCCACAAGTACCTTGGAAATGAAGCTTTCGTGAAGCCTATTTCTGCCGCGATGGCATATCATGAAGTTGGATAGTTGGATTTCTCTATTACCCGAAAACGAGGGGATTATTTTGCGTTTTCGGATCGCTCTTGAACCAGATTTACGATAGATATATTGCTGTGTCTTTCACTCCTGTGCTTCTCCGACCTCGGCTAAGTGGGCGGCTTGGATACCCGTATTCGCTTGATTTCTTCACTAGTAAAAGGAGAGACTAACTCCACTAGAAGCTAATAGACTATATAGGAAATCATTCGTAGAAGACAGATTGGAGGTGTGAAGGCAACGTAGGAGACCAGCTAGTCTCCCGCTCTTTCAGAATTCATTCACCTCGGAGGAGATTTTTAACAAATCTCTCGAGAGACCGTCAGGTCACAAGGAGTTACCTCCAAACTTCTCATTGAGATATGTATAAAAAGCTTGAAAACAGATCTCAATCGCCGAGAAACTCACTCGAAATAGCGCCACCTTCGTAGAGATGGAAAGTGAGATTTTGTAAACGGAATTGGCAAAATACGGAAGTCCATAAATGATTAGGCACAGTCCACGAGCCACGTCGAGCACGGCACAGTGAAGGACGATCACATAGAAGACATTGGTGAGTACCCGACGACGATTTCTGCAATATCATCAATCACATGGCGAAAAATACAGACATTGCGATTCTTTCTGGGTTCCTGTTCGATTTTTTTTCGTGCACCGCTCAAGCTTTCTCCTTAGGACCAAACGCTAAGCCTAGTCAAGAATGCTATAACATTCAGTGTTCCAAACGATTGCGCAGACTAAATATCCCCTCTAACTTTCACGATTACAAAAGGAAGAATGCAGTGTAACGGCGCATACACAACCATTTTGTCAACCACCAAAGCCCTTTGGGCACTCCTAATCTGAACGATACAGGGAGATTGACTAGAGGGAGCCATATACCGTGGCCATATCCACAGCCAACATATCTACTACTTTCTACTTTCATATTTATCATGACATAATAGTAAACCATGAAGAAAGATAAAGTTGAAATGAGCTCTCATCTGAAGAAATCATAACCGATATCGAAGCAGTATAGATAACTACGATTTCAAAACGCTAATGACAGTCGCTACTGACAGTCGTATGTGGCGACAATGGATTCTGTCCGCTTCGACGGGAAGCCTGGCCTCTGAAGACGACGATTACGTCGAAATGTTAGGCCGTTGATTCAATAAGGAGTGCCACCTACAAACCTCGAATGGCAGAAGAATTTTAACACAAAACACAAATATTTATTTTACAGAAATGTAGTTCTGGTAGTTGTAGTTTTATTTGGTCGACACGACGACCACTTTTTTATTGAAGACATCCTTGTTGTAGGAATTACCCGCATTATCCCCCGGAGAGCTAAACAAGCCGGGAAAAAATACATAATGGGGAGGGGAAGGGAGTATGCGAGACACTTTTGTAGTACGTTCAGTATGTCAGCTTTGCTGCGACCTTCCATTTCAATATTACTCTTAAAAAATTAAAAGGAAAAAATTGTGAAAGTTTTTGAAAGCTTTTCAAAAAATGTGTTTTGCTTGCTTGCCGATCAATGTGGAATCAGTTGAATACTTCAAGATGGCGATTGGCTTCTTCCGGCTTTTATAGAGCCGGGGCTACAGCAGTAGAATGTTAGCGCTTCCCTCACATAAAAAGAATCAAATCTCTGGCGCACTTTACAAAACGAGATCGAATTTCCTGCTCACACCCAAGAGGAGATAAGAAATGCATTCGAAAAAGGACACAAGCTGAGCTTTCACATGCCTATCCAAGCTGAGAAATCACTCTACTGTGATAACGACATTTAGTGGTGGGGAATTGCCTCGTTTGAAAAACCAAGTAAGCCATGTTTTTCCTCAGCATTGTCGGTTGGTACTCGAACCTCACGAAAACAGTAGAATGCTGTTTTTAAGAGTAAAAAACCTTAGTGAACTCATACGTATAACAAAATGCTGCACAGTATAGGAGGCGAGAACTTCAACAATTTATATTCGAAAGCTTTTTCTCTATGCCTTTGATCTCTTAGCTTACTCTGATACTACGACTTTCTAGCTATTTTTTTTTCGAGGGATACAAATTTTGGAAATTTATCCAAAAAAAATCGACAAAAATATTGTAATGGAGAATCAACTTGGCATGTCATCGGCGTGCCCAGATTAAATGGATGACACTTTTGGTGCTGAAACCACCTAAAATTAGCTTTCCTCTCATTCATGCATTTCGAATTTCTCCTCGCTTACACCTTCGCCCCTTTTTCTGAGCCTCCTGCGTTCACTAGTCCTCGATTTTGTTCGTCTGCCAGTCGGTTTTTCCAGAAGATGTACTCTGATTTGTTGTAAAAACTGGTGGAAGGCATTTTTTCACCACTAACTAATCCTCACTCAAAAAAGATCATAGAAAACTCGACAGCGCATATTCACTTCCCAATTACTCCTTCTATTCACCAACGATAAGTTTTTCTACGGTCCTTCAATACGGGGACGATAGTGTTCTGACATATGCATATGATGAGCTAAAAATGATCGTTTTACAAAACTAATTTGCTCTCGATTCCCAACATTCCCCTAGCCATTTTTACGCTAAGAGCCTTTGATTTTTGATGGTTGATCCAGGAGACTGCGGGACGAATAGAAGTTTGGAAGGAAAAGCAACCAAGTACGATGGATGAAGTTCCTTCATTCGATTGGCCCCAGTCTTTGCATTGAAATCTTTGCTCTTTGGCCTCTAGCTTCGTGGGGACGTGATTTTGCTAGTGAAACCAAAAATGTCGATATTCATTCAGACTGAGATTTGAGCCGCTCTAGCTGCTTGTGATTTGTTTGTGCCTTTATCGTTCTTTTCCCTGAGATGACCAAATTCTTTGAAGCAGACTGATGTTAAATCCCATTACATAAGAACGAGATGGGACTACTTTCACAAGTGGAGTCAACAGACATAGGAACGTTTGCCACATTACATAGAGACCGTTCTAAATTCACCTGGGCTCCGAAAGAAGAACCGATGGGATTTGTGGGCAACGGAACACGCCTTTGGTAAAATAAGAATGGGAATGAGAAGAAAACAGTAAGTATATAAAATAAGAAACCTGAGGAGAGCTGAGATCACGAACACATTGAGAACGATTGAAAGGGCACCAAGTTGACCACAAAGGAACACTGCTGTAGACGCCATCTGTAAACAAAAACGTAATAGAAGATATGATAATCGACCTGAACACCTCACAAATAATCGACTTAACCTATGAAAGAAAAATGGCACCAATCAGTCAACACATTTTGGGAAGGCGAATTTTCCTTGGTAACGGAAAGAACAAAAAGAGGACAAGATGGAGAGCACGAATGGATCTGTTTTCTGCAGTACTGACGACAGTGCAATGATTTTGCTGCATCTGCTTTGACTTCCTCTACTAGAGCATCGGTGAAAGAAAAAGACTCCCCTTGGATTTATCCCCAGGTTGAACTGAATTTTTGGGTTAGTTCGCAAGTATGTATGAGCACATGTAGGCCATAAATAGGTGAAAATTGTCTGGAAATTTGAGAGTGAAGTAGGTTCTTTCCAATATTTTTTCCTCAACTTTCCCCTCATGCGTAACTCAAACACCAAGAAAGCCCTGACATCTGCGGTGAAGTGATCCATTTTTTCCAGAAAAATAAGTTCGATGAAGAAACGTCACACTGGACACCCCCCCCCCCCCCNCCCCCCCCCCCCCCCTGTTTGCCAATCAAATTTTCTTCGTCTTCGTTTCAGTGGATGGCCAAGTAGTCACATCGGAAATGGGGTGAAGGCAGTGCAATTCGGAGGCGAATATATCTACATAAGGAGATCTGCATAGAGAGAATGCAGCCACGGCCCTAATAGCATCTACCATGAGAGCATCGGGGCTGCCTGCCGCCCACTGATGGCGATTGCGAAGATTCACTTGAGATTTGCCTCCACCGACTTTTCTTTCATATAATCTTCGGAAGCGCACACGCAAGTCATTAGGTTTCGAACAACAAATCGAACCATTAAAATGCACGTCGGAATGGCTGCTGGAGAGAGTTTGAAGCTTCATAAAGCGAGGCTAGACTTTGAAACGAGACTGGTGTTTATTTACATGTTTATGTACATATTCACATGTGACAGGCTTCAGGCAGATTCATGAAGTAGTAGAACACAACACTACAATGAAGATGAACAATCAAATAATACCATGGTTACGAAGGTTCCTCCTCTCTGGGGACGTCTGGAATACGTAAATGCAGGTGGAACGATTATTACTTTAGAAGTGAGAAAAACACAGTCTGTGCCCGCTTGGCCAGTAAAACTATGACGTTCCAAACTAGATTTACGTGTTTCATATGAAATTTCCTCTAATGCTCCTCTGGTTCTGGAAATGACGACTCTGTAAGATTCACATGCGTCAATTCTGCTGGTAAGGCTAGTGACGATTTTCGATCCCATGTTTAGAGTGAGCCTTGGCATTCCTTTACAGAAGCGTAGTGACATTTTAAACCCTAGGATAGCTTCTATCCTCCCAGACGAGTGCGACAGAACGAAACACTTTCGAGATTCTAAACTGTGCAAGGTAGGTGTTTAGAATCTCTGCTGTGAGTCGAGGTGAATTGGAACGAAAAAACTGTCTGCACGATAGAAAGGTCGAAACACTAGTAGACACTAGACTAGGAGTATGATTTCCGGGTCAATAGACATTTGGTAAGTACACCTACCATCGTACAGACAGTTTTCTCAGAAGCTATGTAGGGGCAGGTTCCTGTGATCATTTTGAAACCTTAATTAATGCGAGTTATATTTCCCTTACATAACTCTTTCTGACACCCTTACAGGGAAATGACGACCCTTTTAGCTTCAGAGGCATCGATTCTGGTGGTAGAGCTGATGATGACTCTGGAAATTATAGATTCTATGTTTGTAGTGGGCTTTCGCATTTCTTTACAGAATCGTAGTGACCTTTTAAACCTTGGAAAAGTTTTATCTTCCCAGATGAGTCCGACAGAAGAAACCACTTTTCCAGATTTATAGTGTGAGAGGTATTCTCGATTTCTCTAAGTGAATCGAGGTAAGCTGGAATGGAGAAACTGTATGGACTTGAGGATCAGCTCGCAAGAAGAATTCCAGTTATTTCTAACAGTTTGATGGCCTTTCCTAAATATGGAGAGAAGCCTGATGGGGCCCAAATTACGTCTTATAAGATTCAATTAAAACATCCTTACCATCGGGACACAGGCCTTCGAAAACCTGATATGTTCGAAATATGATCAACAGAATAGAAAACTTCATAGTGATGCAAAAAAAGCCTGTTTATACAGTGGAACCCGATGTTTCTAGCAGAAGAAACTACCCTGAGAGTATGATTTCCAAGCCATTACTACATATATATTTACTAGGCACCCCTTTTGCCGTAAAGAAAGTTTTCTCAGGAGCTACGTCGTGGCAAATTCCAATGGAGCATTTCAAAGTCTTGATCAATGCAAGTTGTATTTCCCTCTGGCCAACTCTTTTTGACACCCCTTCACGGAGAACCCTATAGAGAGACGACAAATTTGAGTTCTCAATCATGCAATATTTCAAAAAACCCAGTTTGTCGATGCACTTATTTAATGATGTGGAAAAATGGCTTATGGGAAATTGAACCGAATGACTACAAAGTTGGTTTTATCGGTTTTATCATTATTGCTTCGCTGTCATACGAGCTCTTTAGAATTGATGATAAAGCTCATGATAATTTTGAGCTACCTTTTGTCAAGGTTGAATAGCAGTAGCGTTGGCACTTTTTTCAAGGTCGAATAGCAGAAGTGTTGGCGCAGAACAGTGTATTGGCGACAAGGAAAGCTCGAAAATTCGTAGAAACTGCAAAATATCGAGCCTCTTAAATCTACACACCGCATGTCGTAAAATATTATGATGATGGTGTTGGCCTGGAACGGGTATTTGAGCAAGATCTCAGTCGTGTGCACTTGCATAAAGGGCTAGTTACAGTAGGCAGAATATGCCAGAGAAGCGTTTTTACCATTACCATGGGTCGGGAAGGGTCAGGGACAATCAGCTGCTTGAATTTCCATCGTGCGCTCCATCGTGAATGGTGCACCCTCTCACGAAATCTCAAGTGAAAAGTTCTGGAACTTCCCTATTATAGTGCTGGGACAACGGCCAATACTTCGTCAAAACAACTATAATTTTGGACAGTTGTGAAGAAACAGAACCATGACCAACGCTGGAAGACAATATTACTAAGGAACCATGGAATTCTATCGATCGCCTTCTCCCGTACACAACTAATAGTAGGATGTACTTATTTGTAGTCGCTTACGTGAGCAGCGTTTTCCGGAAGGCCAAGTTAATGGGTTTTAATGGGGCCAAGAAATCAAAGCAGCTTAGATCGTGCTTTTTGAGTACTCTAAAAACCTGCCTTCCATGGAGAGATGCAGATTCTGAGTCCTATTCAATCAATCCGTTTACATCCGGACAAAAATTCTTTCCGTCATAGACATCGCTAGATCGGATTCAGTGATAACCAGAAAAAAAGGATATCGCTGAACCTACCAACCATCTGAGAAGACGAAATGCATAAGGCATAATTGGACTGAACTGGCGCAACTCTTCTAACCTTGCCGTTGCCCACACATTAAATTGTATCCTGGTCACATCTGTGTTGGATTACAACGACTACCTTGACAGGCGGCTTCTGAGATTATCATCTACTTCACGTGGTGTTGGAGATCCTTCAGCAGAGACAACCGGAAACAAAGGATAAACTTACCCAATTGAGGATCGGGACGTGGAAAGTGGCAAATACTGGACAGGATTGTCAATGTTCATCGATTTGGACACAGTAATATGCATATAAGAATGCAAAGGCAAGAAGTACGCGGCTTGTATGGCCTCCAATGCAAGAATTAAGAGGCCGTCCCAGAAACACGAGAAGAAGATTTGACAACGACCTCAAAGTCATGAATGTTTCCAGGGATGAAGGAGAAGGCATTGCATAGGATCGGCAACAGTGGAAAGACTTTATCGCCCGATATGCCCTGCGGCATGGGAGGAACTAAGTCTAAGTAATGACCTCCAAACAGGAAGATGTAATTCTGCAAGTGAGAATAGTTCTCTTCATGTCGGACGTCTGGCTAGGGATCAGTTGACAGCTGGTCTTCCTGTTTACTCCGCATGTGAGATTGAAGAACCAATATTAGCTCGTTAATGAGTGCGTTGAAGAAGTAGTGTTAATCTAAATCTTCCTCAGAAAACCTTTCCTCAGGCCAAATCGGCCCGTCGTCACCTTGTTGAGCGGAAGCTGACATAGGCATGCTGAGAGCTGAGCAGGAGAGCAATGAGCATGTGCACGAGCGGGGTGGACCTCAAGGACCCTGCGGCCAGCTTATGAGATTACTATGAATAACGTTTCAACACCACAGCGACATAGAAGGCAAAGTATTATCGAACAAAAACCAGCATCCGAATGTACTGCGAGTTCCTTCTTTGTATCTTTGACAGGGTTATCGTTGAATACGACAGAGCTTCTTTGAGCTCACTTGTAAGATGTTGGTCAGTCTGTAAAGTTCCCGAAACTGACGTAAGAAAACTGCTAGTTTTCTACAGCTTTACGGCAGGCAACGTATAAGAAAGCATTGTACAATTGCCCTCGAGGAAGAGGGGATTACGGACAATTGGATTAGATCTAGCTGCGAAAGCGTCGCTCATGAGGGCCACAGGAAGACAAAGAGAGAAGATGACATTTAGCTATACGAGCGAAGAAATACGTAGCCACTACAAAGTGCCGTAGTTGAATGATAGCCAGTGGGCAACATAAAGCTGGCAAACGTGAAAATGATGGCATTCGAAGTGACGGGCAACCTACTGCCACGAAACACTCTCCAGCAAGGATGGCTTCGATGATGATCCGAGTTTTTGGAAAGTTTTTAAGGATTAGCCAAAGTTAGTATTGGTCTATAACTAACCTTCTGTGGCTCATGCCTCGATGAAAGCGTTGTATTGCATAAAATAGCACCAATTGGTATATTTGAGACTCACCCACGCACTGGCGAAATATGGCAGCGGCTACCAGAAAGGAAGATCTAAAGACAATTCGAAAGATCAGTCAGTGAGCCTGGATGCGCATTTCGTTGTAGCAATGGGGTTGGAAAGGATATTGTTTTCGCTTTCGCGGTGCACCT